CGACGGTGAACCAGATTCTAGATTAGGGTTTTCGCGGTGTCTCCTCTCCCGCGATTGTACTTCGTCGCCTCTTTGTGTGCCGCCGGCGCGAACACAGTGGTGGTGTTTCCTCGTCGATAGTGAAGGTGGCGATAGCGACGGCGAACTGGATCTTTAAATAGGTTGACGACGACACTGTAACTAGGGACTGAGCAGGGGATTCATCGGGTCTTCAATTGGTCGGAGCTTTGTTGTGTTTCTTCGTTCAAGCTTTCAGGTAATAAAGATGCTTCTCAGATTCTGAATAGTTCTCCATTTCTCACTTCAAATTCGTCTTCCTTCGCCTGCTACATTTCTCTCATCGTCTGACTAAAAGAACCCTAAACTCGGCCCTCATATGTATAGACAACTATTCCTTCTTTTTCATCATTTTACCTCACTATAAGTTTCAATTATGATTGTTCTTGTATAATGCTTCTGGGTTTCATGGATAGTGTATTAAAGATGATGAATTGGTGATCATCATTAGGGATTGAAGATTTTTTGTGAGTGTTGGGGTTGTTTTTGTTTTGCGCAACTTGGCCATCGGGTGGGATTTGGAATCTAGAACGGGATAATATGATTTCCCTTTATCCATAAACAAGTTCTAAATACAAGTGGACTTGTCATTTGAAATACTAGTAATCAACTCTACTTCGACTATTTCCCAGTTGAGTTCTGATGAAATGGATAACTATGCTTTGGGGAAATTTTGGTTCTATGGTCGTAAAACAATTCTGAATTTGAGTTGTGTGAGAAAAGTGAGCTCATATTGATAGTTTGGTTGATCGATTTTGGTTTTTAGTTTGAAATGTTGTTTCAGCAGTGGAGTCATTTGAAGTATTTGTTCGGTGAAAGTGCGGAATGGGTTAATGTGCTAGTGTAACTAGATGTGTAAAAGAAAGGAAGTTCATCTTAGCCAATTTGAATTACTCATAGGTTCTCTTCTTAAAGTCGACTCTCTATTTTAGTTCAATGAACATGCTCTGAAGAATTTGTTGACAACAGTAGGCTTATGATAGAGATGTTGAGTTGATATTTGGATGCATGTGAATAATGATGGCCGTAAAGTCTCCATTATTACTTAGGTTTTTGGGTATTATGTTGGAATCGAAACCAGACAGTGTAAAAAGAAGATCGTGACTAGCAAGCCAATTGTTAGTTTCGACTTTAACGAAAACTTGTCTTAGTGGTTGTGGATCAAGATGTTTATTTTGTTTAATGTGTGGCTAATCGAATCACGAATCACCATCCTGTATGTATTGGGTTAATTTGTTGATTGTAGAAAGTTTTTGGTTTCTTTTAGAATTTATTATCTAGTGTTCACAATCGCTTTGAGACTTAGCACAGTTGGTGGAAGGATAAGTAATTTCAAATGGCTGCTTGATTAGTAATTAGCTCTACTTCTATTATCCAATCGATTCTTTGACATCATGCAACTCAATTACTACTAAGCAACCAAGAAAGCAAGGGACTAATACACAATTTCATGAGATAAAGTTCAAGTAGAGAAGGTGTTGATATCCCCCTAGCTAGTTTTCATGCATAGACCAAAAAAAATTTAGACTTGTCATGATAAGTAGAATGTTCTACTTCTGCTGGTCTATTTTCCTTGGTGTGGCTGTGTCTCCAGTGGGAAGGAACATGTTGTCAATACAAAAACCAATGTTTTCTTGGAAATAATCCTAATTAGATCAATATGCTAACATCTTGTCTTTGTGAGTCCTGGGAGAGGAGTCCTAATCATGTTCCCATTGTGGTTAAGCTAGCAACTACTTGTAGTATGCTTGTTGTGTGGATGTATTCTAGAAAAGGGTAATCGAAGCATTTTTCTTCTGTGATTCTTTGCATGAGCTTTTGTGTTGATGTGAACTGAAGCATTAGTCTTATGTGATTCTCTGCATTCATTTGAGCTTTTTATTTCGTTTGAATGCTGGCTCCGTCTACGTTTATGTGATTAGTACTTCAGTTTACTATTAGAGCAAGATTGTGATGCAATTGATACGTTTTGCCGTGATTCATCAAGTGAACCTTGGACTTCATCTCCTCATGCTTAATCATTAGTTCCTTCTTTTGTGCATTCCAGTATTATTTTTCTGATTAGAGACTCATCAAGTGATAGGTTTTGGCGTGATTCATAAGTGAACCTTGGACTTAATCTCAACCATGCGTGATCTCAAAAAAAGTTGCTCCAATATGACCTAGCTAGCGATTTTGTTCCTTACTTTATGCATGCCAGTATTAACTTTTTGATTGGAGAGACTTGATTTTTGTTTTATGGAGGCAAATCGAATAGCAAAGTTCATACTCAAAGTTTGATTCTTTTCAGTTTGGCTTGAGACAAGTTGGATTGTTGTTTGCCTTCAAATTGGTGTCAATAATCACAATGCAAGCACTGTTTTTGCATGTGCTTTACTTGCGGATGAAACGACGGAGAACTACGTATGGATTCTAAATGCTTTTTTACATTGCATGGGTGGTAAGAAGCCAACCGCAGTTATAACAGATGGTTGTTCTTCAATGAGGAAAGCTATCAAGTCGGTTCTTCCTGGATCCCGACATCGGTTATGTTCTTGGCACTTGGGCAATAACACAGAAGCGTGTGGCCATGCAGAAGGCTTCCGGGAGGATTTCAAACAATGCATGCTAAACTGCAGTTCTATTCCACAATTTGAAGCTACGTGGAAGGAAAGTTTGTCCAAGTATGACCTGGAGCTAGGGATGGCAATTTCGACCTGACCCGTTTTACCCGACCTGTTTGACCTGTTTTAAGGCGGGCATGGGTAGTCTCATCGACCCGACCTGCCCTGACTCGCCCCATTCTCGACCCGTTCTTGTCTAAATTACATGTAATCTTAGTCAAATTACTTAGAATTTTCCTTTTATTGCTTCATATTTTGGCTCTAATAAAGTTGTAAATAAGTAAAAACCTCAATTTCTCCAATAATTTAACTACAATTGTCATAATATTGTTTGTTTTCTTAGTCTTATAATAAAAATAACGAATATTTCTAATGTTTTCATATAAATTGCATACCCATTGGGTCGACCTGCCCCGACCCGCGACCCATGATCAATTACCCGACCTGCCACGGGGCGGGTCTGGGCCACAACTTACTTGAAAGGTACTTTCTTTGCCGGGATGACTACGTCACAACGTTGTGAGAGCATGAACTCTTATCTAGACAAATTCTTGCAAAGTAAGATGAAGTTGTTTGAGTTTGTCAAGCAGTTTGACATGGCACTTTTGTATAGGAGACAAACTGAGTTAGTTACATGACCAGTTTAAGACAATACATACTGATGTTGTTTTGATGACACATTTACATGAAATTGAAAGACATGCCTCTATAGTATATACAAGAAATGTGTTCAGGAGCGTTCGAGTAGAAATAGCGAGAGAAGTTCATTACTATATTACAGGCAAGTGTGTGTTGACCAATAAAACAATTTACACATTGTCACGATTCAAATACCCTGACTCAAAGTGCACCGTGGTCTTTTACACGAGTGGACGTGATGTGCATTATTCTTGTGGCAAGTTTGAATTTTGCGGAATTCCATGTCGGCATATATTCTGTATATTGAAAGCAGAAAATCAAATACAAATTCTCAAGTCACTCATTTTGAAGCGTTGGGCTAAAAATGCAAAAGAGTTCGATCCCTCGAGTATGGGAAGTTGTCCTACCCAGCAAAATATTAGCAGGTATTATAAATTCAAACTGCTGATTTAGTTCTTTGTTTACTTCTATTGTGCTTGGAACCAACTACAAAAGTGCTTGTTTATTTGGACAGGTTTGGATTCTTGGTTGGTCAATGTAGTAGAATGTGCCATTATGCTGTGAGTTCAAATGAAGCATTTCATACTGCCAAAGGGTTGATTGAAGACTTGACCTTGCGAGTGAAGACAATAAGTGAAGAAACAACCAGAAAAACAAATAATGCTACTACGGATGCTGGAGTGAACTCCTCTCAATTTATTAACGACCCCCATCCAGTTCGAAGTAAAGGGAATGTGAAGCAACCTCAAGTTAAAACACGGTTCTGCAAGTATTGTAGGCGTCCTAAACATACAATCAGAAACTGCCCGCTGAAAAGAATGGTTGAAGCAGGTGCAGGTGATAGTCATTTCACGCAACAAGAATACAACTTTGAGTCCATAGGAGCAGGTGAAAGCAGCTTTCATGTGGAGACTCAGGAATCTGTTTTACTTCCCAAACGATCCAAACACAACCTGTAATGCTGGTGTTCGGCTTCAAACAACATTATGTTTCATCTTGTAATGTTTGTTTTGTGCAAATTAGTATCTAGTGACATTGAATGGATCTATGTAATGCTCGTGTCTAGCTTCAATTCCCCAGATTACTCGTGTAAACCTCCTACTCACCAACTTTACACAAACAATTGGGCGCCCATAATACACTTGCTATTACTAATTGATTTTTGAACACCATAACTAACAAGTGTTTCCAAGTAGGAGACAGTTCAGACCTTGGACTTGAATCCTATCGATAGTGCCCTACATTGTACCTCCAACGAATAGCATAATTGACGATTTTGTATCTTACATTGCTTTCGAGTAGCCTACATAACGAATTTATTTTGCATTTCATTCTACCAAGATGTTCCACCATATCGCCTTTGTAGAAACTTGATACGTACAGTTAATTTAGTTTGGAGCCTTTATTGATATGATTGTCGTTATTGATATGATTCCAATGCAATATAAATTGTGTACACTTCCATAGCATAGGGTTATGTATGTTTAGACCTCACAAGTCACAAATAATAGCTCCATATCCGCCTCTCGAGTTTTCATGGGAAAGTCTTTATGAATGTACCAATATTGTTTATAGACCTAAAAGTAATGTTTGAGAAGTGAAAAGCATTTCATTTGAAACAAGCAACCCACATTTTCTCTAGTCTCCCAATACATTTCTTTGAAAATACATGTCAATACGCAAGACGGTCTAGCCCCTCTTTTACACACGGTTTATAGCTACTAGGCATAAAGCATTTTTCTTATGCATTGTAAGTCCCGGTAGCACATCCATATCCAGATCTTCACTCTTCATTTCAGCAGGCATCTCCCAGTCAAAAGCATAGAGCAAATTAGCCAGAGCAATCTCCACAGTTGCAAGCCCAATGTGAATTCCAGGACATATCCTTCTTCCTGCGCCGAATGGTATTAACTCAAAGTTTGAGCCTTTCACATCAACAGACTTTCCCACGAATCTTTCTGGTTTAAACTCATCTGGATTTTCTCCCCATGATTCAGGATCCCTTGCAATGGCCCATGCGTTCACATGGATTATAGTCTTTGCTGGTATTTCGTATCCACCTAAGCTGCATTTCTGAATTGACTCCCTAGGAACCAACAATGGGACTGCAGGTTGCAATCTCATTGCCTCTTTAATCACAGCTTTAAAGTAAGGTAGTTGTTGAATGTCTTCTTCTTTCACGAATCCTTTGTCCTTAACTTTCTGCCTAAGTTCTTCCTGAACTTTCCTCATGGCTATGGGATACTTCATTAAGTATGTCATGGCCCAAACCACAGTAGCAGCGCCTGTGTCTGTTCCGCCGATAAATATGTTCTACAAGCAAAATATAATATGGATATGAAGATGAAATCTACTTTGTTACGAGACTGAATCTTTGGTCTTTAGATTTTGGATACATTGTTGGACGCTCACGGATAGAGGAGGATCTCGTTAATAGCAAACACTACCCCAAATTACTATGAAATTACTAATTGAATAACAAAGCAACAAAAATAAATTGGGTTCCAACTTTCTCATCCTAAACTTAAGCCTCTCTCTTTATCTTTTTCCTACTAGAATTTGTTTTCTTTCCTTACAAGAATCATTAAGTTAATACTAATATAATGACTATTAATCCTATTCCAACTAGAAATGATATAATAATTAATAGTAATCTTATATAGTTTTAAATAATAACTAATACAAATAACTAAGGGGTCGTTTGCTTCATGGATTTAAAAATGAGGGTTTTGTAATTTAAAAACCCAAGGATTTATCAAGGATTTGAGGCATCATGGATTTGTAACAATCCTTTGTTTGTTGGGATGTTTTTATCATGGATTTAAAGGTGTGGGATTTACTACTTGAAGTCAAAAATTACATTACTGCCCTTTTCTATATGTTTGACATGTTTATGATATGTACACAAAACAAGGACAAAACTTCAAAATTACCTTACTATCATTTTCTATATGTTTGACATGTTTATGATATGTACACAAAACAAGGACAATACATACTAATAAGCATAATGTTGCCACATGGACAATAATAATAAACGAGAAAATTCCGTTTTAACTTTTAACGTAACATAATCAATTACCAATTCTTTGTCCTCCTTTTCAAAAGTGACATATAACAACATATATTAGAATCGGGAGAACAAAGAATTACACGTTCCATGAAAAGGTCAAAGAAAACTAGAACACAAGAAATGATATAAAAAATCTAACTCATGTTTGCACATTAATTGAACGTTTATATTATTCATTTATTGTTAATTATAATGTATAATAGTTAAATTTGAGGGCAACCTTGGAATATTAAAAGTGCATGAGGGTATATGGGTAAAATCTCATCAAGGATTTATGCCATATTCCAAATCCCACATCAACATGTGGGATTTATAAGTCCGTGGGGTCCACGGATTTGGACCATTAAAATCCGTGGGCCCCACGGATTTGGTCTCCAAAAAAGATGCAAGCAAACAACGGATTGTACCTAAATCCTTGATAATTGATTTTTTGGTACCAAATCATTGAAGCAAACGACCCCTAAATGAAGATACCTCAGCCTAATAGTTTTTGAAATGACATGAAGAGTTATTTTTACCTTTCTAACACACTTACTTTTACATTTTTTTAAAAATATAAATAAAAAAAGAGTTGTTTTTATGAAATCGAAACGTTGACCAATTACCATGAGAAGTGCTTTGATGTTGTCGAACGTGAGCTGGACTTTGAAGGATCGGTCCTTCCAAAGCTGAAGCAGAATATCCAAAATGTCTTCTTGCTCCGGCTTTGCCCTATCAGGGTCAAGATGTTCATCGATGATCTCTTGGTAGAAAGCATCACACTCCCTGAAGTTCTTGTCGAGGCGACCAACCAAACCGTTGAGCCTATCTATGAAGCCCAAAACTGGGAAAAGATCAGAGAAACAAAAACTCGTAAACATGGCTTGGGTTTCGTTGAGCAACGACTGGAATCTGCTTCTCTCGACCCCTTCCTCCCCGTACCTCTTGCCAAAAGCCACCCGACAAATAATTGTACTCGTTAGAGACATCATGGCTTCAGACAAATTGACGGGCTTTGCTTCTAATGAAGATCCGGAGACCTTCTCAATCATTTTGGAAACCTCGTACTCCCTGATGGGACCGAAGCTCTGAGACCTGTTGGAGTTGAACAGATGGACCACACATATTTTCCTCATCTCCCTCCAGTAAGCATCGTAGGGCGCGAACGCCAAGTCCACGTTGTTGTAGGACAGTCTTGTTGTACTCGTTGCCACGGGCCTGGTACAGAAGACAAGATCCTGAGTTTTCATGACTTCCTCGGCCATTTTCGCGGTCGAAACGACGACGACCTGGGCACGGCCTAGCCTTAGGAAAATCACGGGTCCATAGGTTTGAGAGAGTTTCCATAGGTAACGATGAGGAGCTGAAGAGTCGAGCTGGAACAAGTTCCCTACCAAGGGAAGCCCTGGAGGACCAGGTGGGAGAGAAGCATTGGTTGAACTCTTCTTGTGTTTTTGGAAAAGGAATAGTAGGAGGAGAGGGAGAGCTAGGAGAAGGTAGAGGATTGCTGCCATGGTTTAGCTAAAGCTTTTTTTAGTGATCACTTTTGGGAGTAGCTAGTATGATTTATGAAAGATGCCTTCATATTGTGCAGCTATATATAATTTGAGATCGCCATAACATTAATGGGTTTTGGAACTCGTATGTTTCCTCTTGACTGAAAGGGGCTAGCTAGCAAATGGACCATAAGAAAGATTATTCCATTGGCCAGGGCAGGCCAAGAATCGGGTAAGACAAAAAGCCCAGCTAGGAATCTAATGCATCGTCGTTAAGAAAACGAAAGTATACCTAGATTACATAAAGCAGAAAACAAAGAAGTATGTTTTCTTTTGGGGAAACTGTGAGTACTTTCATTGAATATAGAGGGCCGGCGGTGGCAGAGTGAATACGAGGCTTTAGAGGGAAAACATCTTAATACTAATTAAAGATAGGGCAATATTTCGCTGCTGGCTGGGTTGCAGCGGGAATGGATCAGGTCAGTAACCTTATGATGAGTAACCATGAGTAACCCGTCCACATCAGCATGACATCAGCATCCTCTCTCATGAAAAGCCTTTACGGGTCGTTTGCTTGAGGGTTTTGGTGATGGATTTGGTCATGGAAATCTATCCATCATGGACTTTGACGGAAATCCATCGTTTGCCTTAGGGAATTAGGGAGATGGAATTTGTGGGTCCCGCCACTTTTGGGGTTCCAAATCCGTGGACCCCACGGACTTGGAAGTTCCACCTCTTGAGGTGGGATTTGGATGATGGATTAAAATCCATGATGGTAAATTACCTTTCTACCCTTACTTATTACTTTAATTACAAAGTTGTCCTACTTTAATTCAATGGTCATGCAATTATAAACTTTTATAATGTCGTATTTTATATATATGAGAATTTTTCATTTCGTTTTGTAATATCATAGTTTATTTAAATATGAATGTATATGTGATTTGTTAGATTCAACTATAAACATCTTATGCTCATCTTGTGCATTATTATTTGATTGATTGTCGCATTCCAAAATCGGGGAGTTAGCAAGAAGTTGATGAGTTGTAGCAATAAAGCGAGCAATTGGTTGCAATTGATACATAATATTGCGTACATTATTAGATGAGTTGTTAATTAGTGCCAAAATATAATACATTTCTATATTTGTAGTTGAATTATTAGTCCACATAGTGGTAAAGAGTTTAAAATTTCATTGTATGCGTTGGATTTTTTTAATGAAATTTATGGATTATAATATAGAAATATAATTAGATAAGATAAGGGTAACAAGGTAATTTGAATTTCATATCCACAAATCTATTCAAACAAAATCTATAATCAAATCCAACAAGCAAACAATAGACTTGATCAAATCCATAATGCCACCAAATCCATCATATATCCATGGTTTTCCAAAACCCAAGTTTTACCAAAACCCTCATTTTTCAAATCCATGAAGCAAACGACCCGTTAATTTTTCCCTCTTTAATCTTTGACGGACGATTTCTCGCTCATTTTAAGTCGAAATTTAATTTTTTTGCACAGTTAGATCAGATTAATTGTGCTCTTCAAAATGATATCCACTTTAATATATTTTTCGAACAAAAAAAATTGAGCCATTTTTTACCAGCCTATACCATATGGTATTGACTGGTATTGAAATAAAAACATACCTATGTTTTGAAAAACGTACCATGGTGGTATGAACAAACCAATACTGTAGGATGGTTGAATACATGATAGTAGAAGTATATTAATTGTAATTTACGACTTTTAACATTGTATACCACACAATACCACCCCGTACCAGGGTGGTATTGTATGGTATTATTGTGTGGTATTTTTTGGTCCTGTAATTTGTTTACCCAGAAATTTGTAGATCCAATAGATCATGATGAACTCGTCCCTTCTGTGCAAACGTTTTCAAAAACGAATTAAAAACGAAGAAGATACCATACAATACCACCCCGTACCAGGGTGGTATTGTATGGTATTGTGTGGTATTTTTTTGTCCTGTAATTTGTTCACCCAGAAATTTGTAGATCCAGTAGATCATGATGAACTCATCCCTGCTGTGCAAACGTTTTCAAAAACGAATTAAAAACGAAGAAGATACCATATGGTATGTAGTTGGTACCGAGAGGCCAGATTTTTTTTTTCCTAAAAAAATATTGAAAATTGATCTCATTTTGTAGAGCACGGTGAACTCGTTCCATCTGTGCAAAAAAAATTAAAATCCGAGTTAAAACGAAAAAGATATGAGTCAATTAAGAAAGCTAGTGAAAATAAAAATAGCCTTTAATTCTCCATCTTTAGATCTGGATTTTCTAAATGAAGGGTTCAGATTTGGTTATTGATGGGTGCATAACCCATGGTTATGCACCCTATCTTGAGCCGGGTTGCAGCCCAGCGCGGCTTACCATTGATGTGGAGCCATGCGATTGGTTTAAGTAGGGTTAATTAATTATTAAAATATAATTGGACGGGACGGAAATTATTTGACGATTTTAGTGGACGGGATGGAGAAGTAGCGGACAGAGGGTGCCGTCCTTGCGTGTTATTTTATTATATTTTTATATCTATTTTTATTAATTTAACGATAACATTTGTTATCTCTTAGTAGCTTAGTAGTATTATTATTATATTTGAAGCAAGGATTAAAAAATGATACCGTATTGGCGGTTCGACTAGAAAAATTTCTTATCGGAGGGTCAACCAGTAGGCGATATTTAGAGGTATGAAGCGGTTAAACCACGATTTTAGCATAAATTACTCTACCAATAACTTTTCCGGTTTTCCGGTCGGTATTTCAATCCTTGATTGATGAGATTATTTTCTTAGCATTTAGGGGATCAATCTTTTAGGAGTGTTTTTTTTGGTGCAATTCATTTGGGATGGTTGCTCTTTGTGTTACTCTATTAGAATGATTTCATTTGACAGTACATTCTCGAATTCTTTTAGATTTAGTTTTTATACATGGATTTAATTTGTTGACTACTGTGTCTATTTTGGCAGTTTGATTTATACTACTTTATGTTATTAATATTATGTAGAGCATAGTTAGTAAATACTCCGTTTAATATATGTATCCGTACATATTTTATTCGTTTAAACTTGTGTATCCCTATTATTGTTAATTCGTTTCGTTTTTATCCGTTCATTTGTTAACTCCCGTACTAAATACATTTAAAATCCACATAACACGTTTAATATATATATTTAATAAATTAAATTATTAACTTTCCGATTATTTTTATATATATTTATTTTTAAAAAAATTAATTTTATATAATTATGAATATTAATGTACTATTAAATGTAACATTGGTTTAGGGATGAAGAAAAATACCCGTACGTATTTTATATTTAACCTTTCCGTATCGTATTTTACTAACTATGACATAGAGTAACACAACATAAAGGAGAAATATCTTTTTAATAACTTCCCCTTTAAAGAATAAAAATTAATTAAAAATATTAATAAAATAAAACATAAGGAAGGTTAATAATTTGACGTCGGCCAGCTCTTCCGTCAGTGTCCCGTCCAAAAAAAAAAAACTCATCCAATATAACTTTCCATTCGGTCCAAATCCAACATCCATGTAATAATTAATTAACCTATTTTCACCAATCACATGGCTCCACGTCAATGGGTAACAGCGATGGGCTGCAACCCAGCCAGCAGCCAAATTTTGCCCAGATATAAGTTTTGTACTGTTGCATAAGAGAAAGGTTAACATGACATGTGGGTTCTAATTTAGAAATGACAGTGCTGAGTGCACTTATGAAAGTTAAATATGGATTATTGTTGCATTAGAAATATGCTATTTTGCACTACTGTTAGTTTTCTTTGGTAACGGGCATGGCTCTCAAGCCCAACAACACGTGCCCAAAGTGATGGAGAACAAAAATTATGATATTTTACATTACTGATATTTTGCAACGGGTCGGAGTCGGATATTGTATATATATTATCTTATCCGAATTAGTTTGGATTTTCCATACTCATACCGATATAAGAATTGGGTAGAATATTAAAATCATAGTAAAAAATCACTCCCTGCCTCAGGTTAACAAAAAAAAATCCCATGAAGTAACTGGATTTTAGCATCCCTGCATCCTTTGGATGGGATATCGCAACTCCCAATAGATATGTAGCATATAGAAGTACATAAACCTTCCATTTAGAATGATTAATTTATTGGAGCAAATAGATCATTTGAGCAAATAAACTTTCGCCTGATTTAGTGTCATTCGATGAGGTTGTGTAAAAAACAACAAATTGGAAAAGTTAAAAATGGAATGGTCTAACCAGTAGTATAATAAGTTTGTGCATCAAATTAATTTTATCGTATATAAAACATATATGGAGAAAAATTACTTTTAAATTAATATTCATATTTAAATAATAAAATGTAACATTTCAAATAACACAAATAATTAACTTTTAAATTCACAAAATAAGGAATAAATTATTTTTACATTAAGTAAATTCACGAAAATGATATCATTTTATTTTGAAATCTTAAATCGATCATGCCAGTTATACTGATTATGTTTATGCCAGTTTCATGACCGACAACGATTGAATCATGCTATCAACATGACAACCATGATAGCAACAAAACATGACCAGACCGCACAACAATTAGTAACCACTATTTTTTGGATGCAAGAGGTGCAACATTTTTCAAACCAAACAATAATATCATATATTCCACAGACAAACTCAAATTGACGGCCGGCAAAAAATAGCAGAAAATTGCACCTCGGCCGTTGCGAAGCCAGGCCAGGTCTCCTCTAGTTGTTAATTACTCTTAGTTGTATGATTTGAGTTGGTTTTAGTTATTGTTTAGGACTCATATTAATTATTCAAAGTGTTATTTAGGGGTCGTTTGGAGAATATGAGTTTAAATCTACAGATTGTCAACAATCTAAAGATTCTAACTCTCCCGATTGTTAAAAACGGATTTTAAAATGTTTATTGTTTGGTAACTGTGATTGTTAACATTCAATTGAAATAAAAAAAATTAATT